GAACACGGAAACGAAGGTAGGCTTGAGGATGTTGAAGAGATTTAAACGGGAAGTGGTAAAAGGACAGAGAGAGAGAGAGAGAGAGAGAGAGAGAGAGAAAGAGAGAGAGGATAGCGAGTCGTACGGCACTCTTTTTACGGTGTTCGCCATAGTAAAAGCGGCTAACATCTACATCTTAAGAAGAAGACTCGCGTGCTTGGCGTAATTTCTTCGTGTGCTTTCGGTGAGAAAAAGAGAAATCTTGCAGAATCATAGAACATTCGTGGATATTAAAACGACTTTGAAAGATACCACCGAGAACACACGACAACAAATACGGATACTTTGCGATTTTAAGAGCGTCAGAGCGGGAATAATAATCGCCAAAATTAACATAAGTGTAATAAGTGATCGGCGTGACGGAACACCGATCGCAGCAGGGAAGAACAACGTGTGATAACAACGATAATAATAATAATAATAATAAATTTAAAAAAAGACGACTAATCAAAAGGAGAAACGAAAGTAGTTACAATATAAGCATCGAGTTCGGACAGAGTGAGAGGAGATTAAAAAACAAGGGAAGCAGGAAAGCGAGGCTAAGACTGTGAGCAATACAGGTATAATGGGCGCAATATATATAATATATATGTATATATATAAACATATGAATATTACAAGGGATTATATATATATATATAGCGAGAGTCTTTCGGGAAGAGTTCTGTTTTTCACTTTCCATTTTTTTTTATCATATAGAAAGAGATGAAATAAGAAGAAGCATTAATAAAACAAATATTCATGCATTTCTCAAGCATTATTATTACAAATACTGGCTGACTCCTTGACAAACCCCGTGTGAGCGTGCACGCGCAAAAAAATACGCATTCGGGACTGCGAGATCGACTGCATCTATCTCGAGTCGGCGGCGCAAGCTGTTCGCGTTTCATCCCTTTTGTCGTGCCTCGCGCGAGGACGACGTCAAATCCTGAACGCATCGGAAACGCACACACATAAACGCGAGTACACACAGCACGGTGATGATTTCGGAAAGAATTTCTTTTTCTTCGGACAGAGACTCGCGTACAATAGTACAATCGTTGCGGAGATGCGCCAAATTTTTGCATCTTCATTCCCGGGTCGTGCGTTAATGTACTCTCGATATATCGGTATTATACATATGTGTAAGTTTGGGTATTGTATATATATATATATATATATATATATATATATATATGTGTTTACATATATGTATAATAATGTACAATGAAGAGAGAATTTTTAAAGACACAGTACAGTACATAATAATAAATACTATATGTATGTGTGTATGTGTTGTATATATGTGTATAGTATACATAGTTATATTCGTAAAATGTTTCTCTTTCTCATCGTAATAGTTCTCGAACATGTGTGTATATGTTAGGTATATGTATATACACATAGTTCACAAAATAATTTCCTGTATACGTGTAACCAGCTTTATCTTGCGAAGTATATGTACTCTTGTCTTCCTTTCGTTGCATCGCGTTTAACTTACATGCAACAACGACAAATATACGTACGTGTATATATTCATTATTTTAATTCATTATTAATATTATAATTTTTTTAATAAGTATATATAAATATAATCATATATATATATCGCGCGTGTAAGGTCTTTCTTTATCGTAGTGCTTCTCTCTTGTGTTCGCGAGTTTAAATAATGTAGGCATCTGTTGTATACGCGTGTGTGTGCAATGGTGTATAGAGTGCAAGGGGAAGGCACTTCCGCTGTTTTGCCGATGTCACGTCGAAAACACGAAATCGCGTTTCTCGCCTCTGTTCATCATCATCGTACACAAGATGCGCGCTATACTACTATACATATTTTTTAGAAGAATACTCTTCTCTAGTAAAATATAACGAACGATCCTCTTATGTGGAAGTATGCAGTGACCTTGCGAGAGACAAAACAATCACAGTTCTAAGGAAATACGATTTTGTTTACGCGACGCAACAACGATCGATGATCGATCGATCGATCCCGATTATCGAGCGAGAACGTCATATTCCGAGTTTTCGGTGTGAATTTAAAAAATCAGCCACCCTCTCGATAATGTACGTATATAATTTGTAGACATCAAGTTGAGGAACCTTAAAAGTGTCGGTCCGGTATTTCAGGCTCGAGTCTAACATCGTCGTCGACTTTCACTATCCGCGGACCTGTTTGTATGTTTATATAGAGCCGTTTTTAAGTAGAATACGCGAAATTTCGCGCATCATCGCTAAAATCTCGGCTATAAGGGATTTTCTTCGTCGATGACTTTGCGCATCGTCATCTTCTCGAGCCCTTTAGCGCCGATGATGCCGTGACATAACGTGTGATATCATTATAAGTACCGATCGTGTTTATAATCAAGGGCACTGAAAGGGCTTGAAATAGTCTTATTCCAATGTTACGCGCATACGAGAATATAGTGTGTGCGTGTACATGTGTACGTATAGGTGTCATACATTACATATTATCACAAAGGATCCGCACGCGCGTTTATCGTTAGACTAGAAACAATTTCTTCATCTCGGGACGAGCGCTTCGACCAATTCCGTTGCTCGACAGTGCTTGCAAAACGACATTTGCATCGAAGAATTTTCTCGCGTGACGTTCGTTATGGAAGACCATGGTATCCTTGAGAATTCTCGATTTTGATTCCAGAGTAGTGATGTGTAATTTCCATTGATTTATCATTAAAATCTACAGATCTTCAGCTTTAAAGCAAATAGATGCTTCTTGTATTAACCATAAAATTAATCGTGGATTATAAATATAAAAGTGTTTAAAATATGCTGATTGTAAATATTGAAGAAGAAACAGCCACATAAACTTCAGTCTTATAAATAGAGAGTTTAGACTATGTGGAAGAGATATTTATAAAATGATAATCACTCAACTATTAAAAATATACTATATTATTTTTTTTGTTATATTAACGTTTTATTTACTTTTATAATCAAAGAGAATATAATGTAGATTAGATCAGAGAAATAGGTAAAAGATAATTACTTTTATTCCAAGTCTGTAATACATTGCGCCTTTTCAAACTTTGTGTTATTATTCATATATAATTTAATACTTATTTCTGTCCTCTAAATTATTAATATCTATGTGTTTTGCAATTACTATATTATACGAATCGCTACTCTAGAATCATTGTAAGTTGACTTTCGTTCTACAATCTTGTGCGTTTGTTGCATAGATAACGTTATGACCCTGAGGAAGAAGTTGTTTCTAATGCCGCGGAAGAACCAAAGAGATTGCGAGGAAATTTATGCATTTTTCTCTTCTCTATCGTCTTCACTTTCGCGAACTTAACACGAGGAGAGATAAGATGCAAGATCCAGATAAATTTCTTGGCGACTGTAATTCGCCACGTCAACCGGATTAAAAAAAAAAAAATTAGAGTCAGACGATTTAAAATAAATATATCATTGCGAGTGGAATGAGAATTCCACGAAACTAAATTTCACCCGCGTACCGGGATCTTCACCGAAATACCTCATCTCGTTCTGTTCTTCCGCGTTTTCGTGTACACAAATTCCTACCGTTATACAATTCGTTCGCTCGGTTTCCCGATTTGCGAAAATTACGATACGTGACCGGCCGTTTCGTTCATTTTCCGCTATACGTGCCAGCGAGTGCTCCTTTCCATACATGTGTATATATTTTATATGTATGTATATACACAAGTAACTCTGATATATATGATAGATAAATTTTTTAATTTCTTATTTCCTAAAGAAAAATGATTTACAAACTCATAATAAAAAAAAATATATATATATATATACATGTATATATATATATATTTATACATACATATGTATATATGTATGTATATATTTAATATACATATAAATATAAATATATATATATGTATATTAAATATATACACACACACATATATATATATATATATATACATGACTATGTAATATCGACTTAAACAAACTTTCAAATCACTGGCAGACACGTGAATGCGGACAGAGAGAGAAAAGCAGGTGCTCGCGTTTCCTTATATAGACGCATGCGAGAGCCAAAAACGCCAGCACCGCGTAATTCTCCGCTATTCTCTCTTATCGTTATATACGCGCGAGTTTAAAAAATATACGCAGTATCTATCATCTAAATATCGTGTGAGTGTCTTGGGTGTTTGCGCGATCGTGTAATATGATGCGCCATGTAAATGTCCGCTTTTCCCCGAAAGGGGATGATCAACGAGACGTTTCTCTCCTCCCGTCTCACCGCCTCCACGCAAGATTAGACCATTTTTTTATATTCTTTCCTTTTTCTCCTTCGAATTTCACGTAAATGCATCCGCATGTTCCGCGGATTCGTCCTTTTTATTATGTTTTTTTATTCTTATTAACACCGTCAACTTCTCTCATTCTCGGCTAAATGCATAAGCTCGTAGATCGCGAATTGACGAAGTTCACTTTGTGCAACAGACTCCCCCGAATTGAATCCATCCAGGACAGAAGAGTACGTTGTGTTCGAGCACGCTTACGCTAAATATACAGATACGCTAACTAAAGCAAACGACTATCTTAAATTTTATACGAATACTATAGGACAACTAAGGGTCCGCCGGGGAAATCCTTCCGGTCGGATTTATACTCGTCGATGTGCACGATATTTCTAGGAAACATGTTATCATATAGGCGTAATATATCCTTAAAGCTAAACAAAAAAAAATACAGGCGAAATCAATAAAAATTTTAAAACAACTCTTTAAATATTAACAAATATATATCACGGCATTATGTGAGCCTCGTACATAATCCAAAATACATTTCGGAATATATAATCCAAAATATATTATGATAACGAAGAAAACATCTTTTTTAAATTATACACAAATTACTACATGACGCTTTAAAAATGCGATAATGATTTGCGCGATTATTTAACCTCGTTCCGCGATATAAACGAGTTAATAAAAAAATCGAACATATATATTATTACATTACATAAACAAACAAACCAAAATCTAATAAAATAATCTAACTTCGTATAATAATAATAATTTGAAGAATCCGATCGCTAATTAACATTACGCTACTTAAAGGCAAGTATCGCACATAACGTGACATAGGCCGAGCGTTGTTTTTCATCTTCCTTGTAGCGGACGTTACATGTTAAAATTTGGACGAATGACTATAACATAGAAATTTATATGTAGTTCCGAAATAAAAAATATTGCGGCGCCGATTTTTTTTACACGACGCGAATATATATTGACTTATTTACAATTTTTCTTATTAAAAAAAAAAAAAAAAGAAAAACAAAACAGAGTCACGCGTAACGACACATAACACTTTTAACAACGTTCTCTGCGATAAAATAGTGCTAATTAACAGTAAAACTGAACTACTATCTCTACAAATATATTTCTGCAAAATTATCGCCGTTATTCTAGGAAAAAAGCAAATATAATATGTATATATTATAGGCGATTCATTTAATCTGTAATTCTTTCGGCCACGCTCGATGTCTCTCCCGCCCTTTCTTTCGAACGCGGTCTTGATCGGCAAGTCGTTTCAGATTCACTTCGACAGTAACAAAATCGGAACGGTATTAGTCACGTCTCTCTTAAACATTTGGGCAAGTAATTAATGCGGCGGGAAAAAATGTCGCACTTCCTCGCGCTGTTCACCGTTCTCTTTTTATATGGTTGTACGCTCGAAACGCTCCAAATGGAATCGGGCCGATAAGGCACTGTTTACCGACAATGTCTGACTAGAAAATGAATCTATTTTCGGAACTTGTTTCTTTATATATATCGGCATTTTACCTCTCTCGCTTTGCAATCGCTCAGCTAAATATAATTCTGTCCCTCTCGCGAACAATTGACCGATTTTTCTCGTCGCTTCTCGAGCACCGATGATGGAGATTAATCTTAGAACTGCACTTCTTTGTCTTACTACATTTCTCGTTGCACTATCGATACAGTCAAAAATATGCGACTTTTTTGAATAAATTAAAGCTAATAGATTGCAAATCGATATTCTTGTAAGATTACACAAAAATATATAAATAAGATACGTAAATTTATCTCTATCAAGGAAAAAAAATATTAGAAAAATCGAACAACAATAAATGAAAGGGGAGTTTATTGAAACTCCGCCATGCAGTTTATTAGCAAAAGCTATAACATTCTAGGACTAATTCCCACATCTGGTTTCGCAAACAAAAGTATCAAATAATAATTCTCGATGAACCGTAAATTTTATTAATTTTTTTTTTGCAAAGCAAACTTTCCGCTTATGTAACAGTAATTATATCTAGATGCAGTCAGTATCGTATCTGATACTGACCAAGATTATCCTACAAGATACGACCGCAAAAAGACTCTACTTACTGTAACGCAATCATTATTACGATACATCGCGTAAACTTTTGCTAATCGTAAAGATCTCTTTAATTCTAGAATTATCTAAAAATATATATCGCGTTACCGCGAAAACGGCAATTATATATATATATATATCCGTAGTGACTAAAATCGCGGAATCGATCACGCTCGTTCACGCGAGGGAGAGAACCGGGAGGTGCCTAGAGAGGAAAAAAGGAACAGTACTTTCTCGCGAGAGGAGAGTCCTCCCGAGCCGGCGATCCCGAATCTTTACGACGTCTTCATCTTCTTATACGGCTGCATAATAACGCCGGAGCTAACCGGAATCGCTACCTGCGGCTGCGCCGCTATCGTCGCCGGGTTCCCTATCTGCGGTATCTGCTGATGAACAGTCGGTACACCGGCGGCCGCGGCTGCGGCCGCGACGTTGGCCGGTACCCCGGGTACACCGGCCATCCCGGGTAGAACGGCGTACGGATTCTGGACGTAGGGATTGGTCTGCATGGTCGCGGCACCGGGCATCGACGCCTGGACATAGGGATTCGGTAGAATCTGCTGCCTGATCAGGGAATATGGATTAATCGGGGCGGCCGTGGGCGGCGGTCTCGAGTACGCTAGGATACCGGCCGACAGCGGTGAGGTCAGAGCGCTCGGGATACCGGCCAGACTCGGGATGACGGGTCTGGGAGTCGCCGCGGTGGCCTGCAGACCAGCAGCGGCGGCGGCGGCGGCCATCGCGGAATTCCCGGCGGCCGCCGCGGTAGCGGGATTCACGAGGTTCTGCTTGTTCAGAGCGACGCCGGTGTAATTGATCGCGGCAAGCGGACTGATGCCGTAAGACTGGGAGACTTGCGAAAGCTTAATCGCCTTGGCGTAATTCTTCTGGGCGACCTCTTTGGCGAGGGTCGCGGGATCGAAGTGGGTCGGTAAGCCGGATGCTGCCATCCCGAGACTGTTGAGCATGTTTAGACTCGCCATATTGGAGGCGGCGTTATAATTGCTCACGGAACTCATGTTCGTTACCGACGGCATGTTCGCCATCGAGGCCATCGAGGCCATCGAGGCCATGTTCACCACGCCGGACATAGAGGTCAGACCTGCCATCGAGGTCAACGGACTCATCGCTGGTGGTAGAGCCAGCTGATTGAGCTGTTGTTGCTGCTGATGTTGCTGTACCTGCTGCTGTTGCTGCAGCGACGACGGACTCGAGTGATTCAATTCGGGAGAGTTACGCGCGTTTTCGACATCGTGATTCTGCGCAGTTACCGATTGCTTGTTACTGCCGTTACTATTGTTACTGTTATTGTCAGCGGTCGGAGGCGGCGGCGGCGGATTGTTGCAGGGATCCATCAGCACGCCATTGTTGGCGTCGGCGCAGTTATTGACTGTGGCGCCAGCGGCTCCCTGGGAGGAGGAGGAGGAGGAGGATTGCACCACCATCGCGTGGTGGTTGCTTTGCACGTTCGGGGGTTGCACGACCGATTGGTTAGAGGTTTGGGTGGGTAGGGGTGATGTTCCAGTGTACTCACATGACACAGGCACGAAGGGCTGCTGTAGCTGCATTAACTGCTGATAGGTCGTCGCGCCGGTAGGCTGATAGACCGGCACGCCGGACTTGTCGGCCGCCGGTCGTTTATACGGAACCATCCCTGGGAAGGCCTGAAAAAAGAATTGCAAAAGACGTCTACGATTAGAAGAGGTGACAAAACGAGCGGCGTGGCCGCTCGAGCGGAAGCTTCCTTCTTCGTGAAAGCCTCGGCTCCATTTTCGGCCGGGGATACGATTTTATTATATTGTTCGTTCTTTCTTTTTACGTGTTTCATGAGTTTTCTTGATCCAGGCGTGCAGGGAACTACGTCGGGTTTGACGTTTTTTTTTTCCAAAGCTATCGAAAGGCCCGAGTCCTTTCGTTCGACAATCGAGCTTAGTCAGGATTCGCGAATTAGTATGATAAGTCGATATATCGATATATGCTGTTACAGTGCTTTTTTTCATTCTCTTTGCGCAAAACAATTACATCACGCGCGGAATTATACATTCAAATCTTTGCAAAATTGCGACATCATTGTTGTCTTACAAAGGCAATGAAAAAAAACAGTCGCTGTAATTTCGCTATATCGACAATACTCCGTTTTACGATGTTTGCGAATTTAATGAAACTCAGAAAAAATTTAATTCTTTTTTTCGTTCTTTTAACGCTGCACAAAAAAATTTTGGAATTTTCTTGAGAGACATCTTCACTAGACGGGAGATTGCATTTACATCGATTTGTATGTTAATCGCGGGTACAAGCGGTGTGACACGCGTGAAGAGACGAATCACACAGCCGTATGAATTATGATTCAGTGTTTAGGTTCTGCACTTACAAAGTTCTCGTAGTAGAACGACCCGACAGACTTCATGTCCATCTGCAACAAACACAGGATCGGTTTCAACTAATTTCGAGGAGCAGGCGCGTTGCGTCTGTATAATTGGATTTTCGAGACGGGAAACGAGAGAGGGTCGCGTCTCAAAGAAACGGAGAATGGAGACGATGGCGCGGTAAAGAAGGGTGTTGGAATGTTGTGGTAGTGTGTAAAAGTTGTGCCGATGACGCAGCTTGCGGCGACGTTTCCCAAACGACGACGTTTCGTTGTTGGATAACTGCAAAATGTTTCGTTCTTTCTTTCTTTCTTTTGCACTTTTCCTCTGTTTTTTTTTTTTTTTTTTTTTTCATTTTCTTTTTTTCTTTTTTACTACTGGGAGCGTGTCAGAAAGACCAGCCATTGTACTAGCATCGAAGACCGTGCGCGGCTCGATTAAAGAGAGACCGTCGTTCTGCATTAATAAACGATCAAAGAGTACCGGATCGGAAAAAACTGCACTGTCGCTTCCCTATTGAAACTATTGCGAGAGCGAAGGAGCAGGAATCGCGCGCTATGACAAATGTCGATGCTAAATGTTCGACCTGTGAAACCTTTTCGTTCGTTCTCGCGAGATAAACGCGAGACAAATGAGTCTTTTCCTCGAGAGCAAAACGAAGAGAACGAAGAGAAAGATATAAGAAAGAGACAGAGAAAAAGAGAGAGAGAGATGAAGAGAAAAAGAGAGAAAAGAGCAAGATCGACAAGAGAATTATTAATAAAAAGCGCAATTGGGCTCGGAGAACAAAGGGCTTCGCGGTTACCGACGAGATGCGAGAGAGATTGGCAACAACACGGATTCACGAAAGCTTGATAGAGAGGCTTGCGGTGATATATACGTGGGCGAGCGGGCTTTACCTTGGTAAAGTATCGTCTGCGCGACAAGAGACGCGTGCGCAACAAAAAGGGGAAAAGAAAAGCTCAACAAATCAAGATCTCTATCGTGGTGTGACACGTTCGAGTTAGAAGCTGCGTAAAAAACGAGATGCAGAAGCTCAGAAGCTGATGGTAAAAGTAACCGGGGGTGAAACATATTGTCACACAGCGGCATAGATACATACATATATGTATATATGCGTGTTGCAAACACGTGTATTTCACACGTCAAAAGTGGTTCGAAGTCAATGACGACGCACGGATACGATTGATTGTGTGTGCCGCGAACGACTCCGCTCGATCACATATGCGCGATTAATACGCGCAGAAAATAAACGTAATTGCGAAATTACGTTGCCAGTAAGCGTGTGCGCGAAAGCGAAGAAGCGTCTCTCTGCGTTTTAGTTAATTGGAAATGTGCAACCGGCTATCTCACGCGAGAGGCAATGAATCTATTTTTTCATCTCTTCGTTTATATCGAGTTATCTATTAGGATTTTCGAAGATATATTAAGTTAAGGAAATAAATCTTTTTTTCTCTTAAACTTCTTGATTTAGTTTTTCTTTTGTCATTATAATATCGCGAAGAAAAAGTTAGTGCACCAAAAAAATACTATGCAAGGTGTATTAGCATTCTTTATTTATTTTTTGTGACAAATTTAAGAATTAATTGCTTTTTAGCTAAAATTTACAAAAATGTTCTATATAACAAGTTTGGAAAATTGAATGTAAATATCTTTCCAACTAAGACTTGCAAATATTAAATGTTTAAATATAAATCATTTAAAGAGTTTGAACCAAAGAGAAAACATCTTGTAATTTAATTTCAGATCTTACGATACATCCTGTATATGTTTACAGCGAAAATCCATTCTCGTTCGGTCGTTTCGAATATTATTTCGTTTCAAATTTTTGTTTCCAGAATATTGATACATTTCTACAAACAAAGATTTTCCGTTCTTATGAATTTATATGAATTCTCTGCAGGCACTTTTTCCTTCTTTCTTCGCGTATTGAAAACTCCATACCGAAAATACCGAGAAGTTATGCGCGCACTTTCCGAAAGAAAACCCCAATTTGTACAACGAAAATCCATTCTCGTCCTGACGCTCGAAGTTAGAAAGTTGCACATGGATAAAATCACGTCTCAAGCCCGAACGAATCTGTCGATCGCGCTTCAGATCCTGATTGGCAGTATGAGCGACGGAGAGACAGAGAGAAAGAGCGAGAAGATATATATATATATATTTAATATATATTTATATGTATATATAATAAAGATATAGAGAGGTAAAAGAAAGGGGAGCAGAGTATTAAAAAAGTAGCGAGTGTATGTATAAGCGATCTACAGTGCTCTTTAGCGGACTCGACGCGACTCTAACGAAGACAGGCCGTTTCGCGGATATTTTTGCGATTTTCTCGTAAACGCGACGACGAGGGTCTCCGCTCGACGGATCCTCCGCGACAAGAGCTGCCAAAACTTCGGTCATCGTTCAGAGCGTCGAGGGGATGACGTTACGTTCCACCATCACCTCGGTAGTCGCTTAAGCACAACATGCATCATCGGCGCAAGCTCAGAATTTACACAGAATTTCTAACGCTCCGTAGACCAGCAGCACCACAGTAATGCCGGATTCTGATGGCGTTTTTTTTATTATAAACCCGAAAAAGTGCGAGAGTCTCACGAGTCCTCGCCCTTCTTCACTCTCTCTCTTTTCCGTTTCATTTTCGTTTCGTGAGGGGGTCCTGACGTACGGAGATTAGAGTCGACGAGCTTTTTTCTCACCGGAAAGCTCGCATCGAAACACGCGCGCACTTCCCCAACATTTTTTTGTTGTTGAAATCCGAAGGATTTTCTTGCCGATTCCGTTTCATTAAATCCTTAAACGTGCGAGATTAATGTTCAGCTTTCTTTTAATCGTTTCAAGATTGTTTGATATCTTTGGGACAATTTTTTTTCATAACAAAAATTATACTATTTATCACATCTGCGATTGTTAAAATTATGAGTAAACTTTTTTTGAAAACGAATATAAAAATTGTGAAAAATGAACATTTTTTTGTCGAAACAAATGATTTGTTACTTAGAGCAGAGAGTCGCTCTATATTTACGCGCTCGCTTGTGTGGAAAAACAAAGAGATATTGTATCACGTGATTTTCGTCAAATATTAAAGAGTTGGAGATAGACATATTTTTTAACGTACGTTTCATCCGCATTCGAGTTCCTCTTGCAAGTGCCTCGCTAGTGCGCGCGTGTTTCGAGATGTAAGCGCGACCGACGAGCGGATGACGATCGTGACGAAGGTGAATTGTTCAACTTTCGTTCGATCGTCGGATCCACTGATTTCGTCGGTCGAGGAATCGCCAAGGGATAAATATATGTTAAATCATATATCCGATAATCGCTAGCCACACGCTTCCATATGCGTACAATATAATTTTGACGTGAACTTTGATACACGTGGCGTATCGTTTGGCAAAGATCTCTTCCGCAAATGTCAAACGCGTGGCTAACACGATCGAAGAAAAAAAAGTAGTAAGCGATCTATAAATACATTACGAGGCGTAAGCTCTGATACGAACAACATTGCAACGAACGACAGTGGGAAGCGAAACCAAGAGAGAGAAAAAAAAGATAGAGTCTCTAGAATTTTTCATACGCGGTCGTCTTTGCATAAAAGCCGATATGTATCGTGTATACGATCATCCCAGAACGATGAGAGAATAAACGTTGCAATAGGAGCATCACAAACCGGATATTCTGATGCATTTTGAGAGATACAACCCTTTCAGTGCCAATTTCAAGTTCTTGAAAAATCATTTGAATTGTAAAGGAGAGAATTCAGTCGTGAGAGAAGTCGTACGTGATATTGTAAGATTTTTTTCTCGCGAATTTTCTTTCCGTTTTCGTTAGCATCGCGTTTCGATTACAACGTCGTACGTGACGTTATTGGTATCGTAAAGATCTCTACTATCTCTACGAATGCGAATATGGTAGTATCGACATTAGGGAGATTTCAATAATGACGCTATACGTGGCGTTGCCAGGCTCATAGAGATTTCGGTTCATTATGTTATTGTATACGTGTGTGACGTTGCCGGTATATGCTTCAATCGTGACATGACGTCGCGATGGCACTGAAAGGGTTAACAAATGTATTCCCGTATCATTAGGATTACACGCGGTCGCGATTTTGCACGTTTCACCGTCTTTTTTCACCGATTGATAGAAAAACAGCGGGACTCTTGTTAGAAATAAAAATGAAAGACAGAAGGCTAGAGCTCTAAGCGCGCTCGGCAGTGTATTCACAATCGCAATAATTATGTACTCATAACTTAAGAATACGACTATATGGAAGCTCCGGAAAATGGCCTGAATCGTTTCGTCTCTGAATTTTACAGCTCGCCGCAAAATCGCGATGTCACTCATAACAACGAGATCAGCAAAGGGAGAGAGAGAGAGAGAGAGAGGGAGAGCACAGAATCGATTATACATTTAGACGCGGGTGACGTACACACATGCTTTTCCATTTGGAAAGTTTCTCCGATCGAGCACGAGCAAGTAGAGGCAAACATCAGCTTGGAAATCTGTGAGATTAGCATCGGATTATATATGACTGTCACCAACTAGTTTCTTGTACTTTGCTTAATGATGTCGAAAATTGCGATCGTTAAAACCGACTCGAACAAAGAGATAAATTTCATAAATATCTGGTATAACTGTATGTGCGCCATACATATTTCAAGTATTATTAAGACAACTTTTGTAAATGTTGATGCTCGTTTCTCGAAAAGTAAAGTATTCTTTTCGTATCACAAAAAATTCTTTATCCGAAAGATACAACCGTCAATACTCGTCCGCGATACCGAGGCCATTTTACCGGAGTCCAGCTACGAAAGAAAAAAAATTGGAAAGTGTACTCCATGCATAAGCCATGGTACCATTAGCAGATCATCATTGGAGTCGCGCATCCGCTTCTTGCCGAGCTCGATGCTCGCCATACTGGCGCTCTGCAGTCCTCCGGGCATCGCAGTTGCCGGCACTCCTGACATTCCGCCAGCCAACGCACCCATTCCCGCCACATTCGTCGGCATCGTCGCCGTCTGTATTTTTTCCGTATTTTTTTTATTTTTCACACACGTTCGTTCGATTTTTTCCGATTCCACGTTTTTTTCCGTGACACATTTTTATGCGTACAGATTTCGTTTTTGTTTTTTACAGTCGTATATAGAGTTTTTCCGTGCATCGCCGTGCGTCGACCACATCCGTTTCCGTTTTCGGCCGTTCCCGAGACGTCCCCAGTCGAGACATTTTCATTTTCATTTTTTTTTCCGTTCGTGTGTTAGCACATTTATACATATTTTGTTGTATCGTTGCGGTGTGGTAATGATGGTGGCATACATATATATATTTTTTCGTATTTTTAGCATATACATGCAGTGGTATCGGCCGATCGTGCGTGTGATATTATTTATTTTTGATTTGATTTTATTTAACATTGGTATATATAGATGTTTTTTTCCGAGTTTCGGTCGGCAGTATTTCGCAGGCGTTAATTGGCAGGTAGCGAAGCGCACGAAGGTATTGTCAGCAAGCATGTAGAAGCATCGTCAGGCGCGGAAGAGGGCAAGATAAAAATCAAAAAAGAAAAACCAGTTGAGGCTAAGGCAAGAAACGACAGTCGCGATATATATATATTTTCTTTTATAAGTAAAAAAAAACACATACTCTTGTATGTGTGCACGTGTATGCGTGCGCGTGTAAAATAAAAATCCACGAATTATCCGTGTCGCTTATATCATACGCGCACATATACACGCGCACATGCATATATGTATATACTCGCGGAATTTACGATATTTTTGCGCGATCGCCCGTAAGACGATATCAATTGCGTGCGCGTAATATCCGGCGAGGATTTAAAACGCATCGCTCGAGTTACTCGTACGTGAATCCCGAGTGACGTAATTGCCCGTTCATTTATCACGTAGTTCGATCGTTCTATTTTTAGTTACATAATATTATTATTTTCCACTTGAATTTTTAACTTGTCTCTCTTTTATGCGCTGTTTAAAAAAAAAAAAAGCAAAGCTACGTAAATTACAGAGCTGAAAATTTCGGAGCTAGAGGTTGAAATGGATCGACATACTTTACTTAAACACACGCGGGAATTCTTGCGAGTAGAACAAGAGCGATTTTGGTCAGACGCGCGATCGCGCAACCTTTTTCGTCCGATAAACGCGGCTGTAAGTAAAAATGATGAGTCTAATCGATCGTTTATATAATTAGGAAAAATTCAGAAAGATATTCTCTCTATAATATCGCTTTTTTTACGTGTTAATCGCTTCGAATTACCGATAAATGGAGAACTGACACATTTTGCGTAATATGAGCAAACTAACGCGGTTTACTTATTTTCGATATACCGCGTTTATCGACATTCAATCGCGTCACTTTTTTAGAATGCATTTAGCGATGACTCGCAGAACGCAAGTTTCTACGAGACACACAAATATATAAAGACATCACCGATTAATAGTAATGGCAATAATAATAATGATTATAATGACGATGGTGACAATAATAATAATCAAATAACAATAATCAATCATAATAATAATAATCATAGCACGTTAGGTAGGACCAACGGACGTAGCTGGCGTCAGCGTCAATCTGCGAGCTAATTGGCACTAATTCATTATTTTTTTTTTAAATCGACGTTAAGGCGAGAGATGGAGAAATAGAGATAGAGAAGTAAACGCATCTACGTGGCAGAGTACGCTATCTAGAGTGACTAGAAAAAAAAGAAGAAAGAAAAAAGAAAAGCGGAAGTCTCTTAACAGTATTGGAAAATCAGAATCGGACGTAGAGCGTGGAAAAGGGTCGCGTAGACAGAGGGTACGAAAGAGAACCGGTCCCACTTCATCGGGTCCATCAACATCGGGCTCTCGGCTGGCGTTTCTGACTGCGGCAACACCTGCAATAATCGAGGCACTCTCTCGAAGTTCATTAGTTTTGCGTTTGTCTCTCACAATCTCATATTTGCTGTGTGAACATACTCATGTATATATATATATATATATATATATATATGTACAAGTTATATTTATATATAAGCACACACACACATATATATTATGTAATTTGACTCTTTGGCTTCCCGCTCCACTTTTCTCTCTCGCTTTGCGTCAGCATCCGGCTAGCGCTCTTCTCTCTCGGCGGCTTGCGAAATGGAAAAGACGATCGAGAGAGAGGGAGAGAGAGAGAAAGAGAGAGAGAGAGAGTGATAGAAAAATTTATATACATAGTGAGGAAATTGTGGAAGAAAGTTACAGAGAGAAATGCGTGCAAGAGACTGTAAGTGAAGCAGAAAAAGAGGGTCATCTTTCTGAGAACCCGTACTTGTCGTCTCTTTCTATCTTTACAATACCTGAAAATTTACGGAAAAGACATCGATTTAGTTTGTAAGTTAATTCACATAATTCCTCGTAAATATCCAAGTGTATGGTGTTCTCTTGTTCAAATCTCGAACTTGCTGTTGCTGTCGGCATCTTCTTTGAGGAATAGGAATAACGAAGTTGTGTTATCATGTTTGTATATGTATATATATAGATATATATTATATGTTTGTATATATGTGAAGTGTGTAAATATAGGTGTGTCGGTATGTGCATGTGCGTATGTATATATATATATATATATATATTTACATATTTGACAATGATTTTGTTTTGTACAAATCGAGGATGAACGAGCCTGTGAGCGGCTCGCGCCGTGTTGTATGCGGTGTTCACAGTGATAGATTTGCACTTTTACGTGCTCGGGGTATAAACTTTGTGTCGTACACTTGACAAACATTCAGGTATGGCATACCAATTCCGAAGAGTGCATTACGTCGCGACGATACGTTTCGGCATGACCCTCGTTGGCGAGACATCGCGTCAAGGCTACTGACAAAATTTACATATTACAGAGCTTATATCGTAATATCGCAAAAACCTTGAAATCATCGAGAGAGCAAACCTATGTAATATTCGAATCAATCGAGACAAAATTATTTAACTTATTATTCAAATACTTATTAATTTTCCTAAAGTATTGCTATTTTTTTAATGTTAATCCTTATGTGTGAAAATTTTATTGGAAGAAAAATTAAGAATAAGCGCGGATGAAATTTTCACGCGGCGTCTCGAACCATCGTCAGGTCATCCGAAAGAGGGAACGAGAAGAAAAAAATGAAGAGAATTGGCAAAACAAAGAATTCCCCTGTATTCCGTGGGCACGTTTCGTTCTCTAAGAGACGCTGGTCCGTAACCCCCGAGGCAAATTCGGACGAAAAGGCGATTCCGCCGGTATACGCGGTGTATGCACCCTTGGGAAATTGAAAACCACTTTTAGAGAATGAGACTTCCCTGCCAACAAGCTGGTCTGCCGCAATCATCCATGTGAGACTTTTCCTCCATTGTGTCCGGGTGTGGCTCTGCAGGTCTTCCGCGCGACGTCGCTGAAAGTCTTTCTCGCTCTTTCTCTCTCTTTTACTTCTGCATTTTCTCTTTTTCTCTATATAGCTTTTACTCTTTATTCCACCGGATAACAAATACGCTCGTATCCCGGAAACAAGGTATTCACGTATATCGAAACACGGCGATCGAGTCCGCATCGGAAAACAGGGTGCGTCCACTCCCGCGCTGTTTACGAATAACGCTACGATTTTCGAAACGGCCGCCGTCCAGTCGTAATTTTATGTCAAACGCGTTTCGTCAAGACAATCTCGATTATTCGATCGAAACGAGCTCATTAAAGTCGAACCGTTGACCCCCGAACGATCGATGTCAATTTTTATTATCATCGCGTTTAATCATTCCTCGCATTTAATTCGGATACAGGAATAATAATTAATAATAAAAAAAAGAAAGAACAATCGCGTTCGCGATCAACTCGTTAGCACATCTTTTTTCCAGAGAAACGACGAGCGGAACCAGGTCAAGAACGATCGGAGGACAACAGCGACGAAACGATTCCTAATTTAAGAATCGTTCCTGCTTAATGAACGAGTCGCGAGCGAGCGAGTGTGCCGCTAAACGTTGTCAACAAACGCGCATCAAATGCGAGAAACTATAAGAGACAGATTTGACAACGGAAATTGGACAACGACATTTCATCGCCTTGGCCCACACACCTCCCAACAAACCCGTCGTATCTGTTCGTTTCTTCTACTGTTTCTTTCTTATTTATTTATTTATTTTTTTTTTTCGCTGTCTTCTATGTATCTTTCGGGGACTCTTAGTGTAGCGTTTTTGTGTGGGGCAGCAAAACAGCAGCGGGGTTGATAGCCGGGTTTCGTGCAGCACAGCTTGTCAGCAGGGTGGTGTACGTGTCATTCGTAAAAGATATCTTTTCTCAACTACGTCTTATTTACAAGAATGTGACCGTTCCATTTTCCTTTGTATATGTCAACGCGATCGAAAATGATGTTTGACAAACCGACATTTATAAATTTTGCAATTCGACATAAATTTTATATATTCAATAGAGAGATTTATTGAATATAATTTCGTATAATAAGGTTTTCTACAAATTATGTAATTTAGCGCAAAATTATTGTACGCGCAATTATTAAATTATATATAATTTAAAATGCTATTAGTTTAGCATTAATTATGCTCTATATGACATGTAAATGATGTAAATTAGTATTAGTTTTGAAATTTTCGACAGGAAATGGAACGTGCACATCGGCTGCGAAAGTATTTGTATTCATTATGACCTAAGAGGTACCGAACAGGTGATTGGTGTATTGCAACTAGTTCTTTGCACCTGGGTAGCTGCGATAGGCTGCTAGAAAGAGAGAAATAGAACAGTGGTGTTTTGGTGATGTTAACAAGAATTTTGCCTCGTGTACTACTCACTACACACTACAGAAACGGCTGAACATCATACAGGATGTAAAATATGGACAAACACAAAAGCGACAAACATAGGACGAGAACTATACAATATATCATTGGGAGAAAATTAAATAGTAAAATCGAGAAATAGTAATTGCACTGTAAGAAGATTGGGAGATAAAGTTCAAGGATAGGGGAGAAGGTATTAAAATAAATGTCTTTATGGTAGTTATACGGGAGACGATGCCTTTTGCATTCCGTTTTCTTACATTCCTATAAAAAATATTGCTGAAATGTAAATTGAAAGAATAAATACTGTGAAGAAGGTATATATTATTATTGATTGTCGCTGTGATAATTTTTAGTTTGAAATAGTTAATTGTATAAATACAGGTAATATATTCGCGTCATTATATATGATATGGTGATTCATCGTACTCCTAGCATAACTATCATGCATTTCGAGCACTGCGCAACAATTGGCCAATATTATTATTCTATCGTTCATCTCTGTCTTCACGATAACGATCGTATATGTGTAAAATTATTTGTATAAAATACTCGTGACGTAGATCGCGCGTCTATCTCATTGTCAGTGTAATATAAAACTCGACACGATAGCATGTGAAGCACGTAAAAGGGACTAACGCGATCAAGAGAGAGAGACTTGATGACGTTTATATTCGACCGTAAATTGGCGAAAAGTAGCGCAGCAACAAAAAGCTCCTTTCGACGTAAACCCAGGAAACTGAAAGATGGGAATGGAAGAAAGAGATTGTGATAGATAGAGACACAGAGCACAAGAGTAAAAAAAAATGTGGATTCGAGAAAAGAAAGTGAGATCGGGGATTAAGGCGAGGAAGTTATGGGGACAATGTGCGGTCGAGGGAAACATGCGTGCACTTCGAGTCTTTTCATCCTCGGCCTGTAACTAAAGACCTTTTTGAGATTTATCGCGCGAGAAGCGCACTCGATATTCTCCGATTCTTCGATTTCAGAACTTTTTAAATTTTCGTCCGCTCTCAGGCGTCTTTTTGATAGAGAAAAGTACAGTGGGACGGTGTGATACGATCGTATAATGATAATCTCGCGGGCGATGTATGAGAGATAGAAAGAGAGAAAGCGAGAGATTAATGATCTTAGAATACAAAATGGAGCCAAGCGATTGATTCAGAGGAATTATGTTCGAATAAAAAAGAAAAAAGTAAAGCAATTTTTTTCAAGCTTGTGTGTTAGGCGAAAGCGCGATGTATTCTTCTCTTTCTTGTTTTTCATTCTTACAACTCAAAAATATCAATATATATATATATGTATATAATGATTGTTTTTGACATATATACATATGTATTTCAAAGTGAAACATTTTTGTGACTGCATATTCAACAATATATATTTTTGATATATAAAATATCAATAATCGATACATAAAAGCTGCGCTCAACTGCAGATTGCGAAATAGAAATGTGCACTAAAAATATATGTATAATAATCCATTTAGATTAATTTCACCATTTTTGATAACAATTATCTTTCTAGATATGGTGCTCGATCAATGTACATATAATGTTACATTTACGTTATACTCACAATACATTCAGTTAATGTTTGCTTTTTTTTAAACAGAAAAAAAAAATAATCCGCATTACATTTTCAGTCACAAAATATCCACACTTTTACAGCAGAGATGTAATGTATAAATAATTCTTTTTAATGGTAAATGCATTGCAACAACAGTGAAAACTTGATATCGCGGAACACATCCCTGTCATTTTCTCTTCACGACAAGCGACATTAACACCACTGTACTTTATTATCACAGCCCAACAGTAAAAAGGACAGAGCATCGGGCGCTATTTTACCCTTTCTGACATCGACCAATTTTCAGCGAAGAGATAATTAAAAAAAAAATAAAAAAAAAAAAACGACACACTTGCATGAAGCACACGCCACATGGAACGATCTGCGAGGTCGAGGCTGGAAAAAGGCAGAAAGGCAGAAAAAGAAGAAAGTAGAAAGGAAAAGAGATTATTAATGTCATCGTTTGACCCATTAACATGAAGAATTTTTATTCGTTCATCGTTGCATAAAACGGCTGTATTCTATATAGTAAATAGAATATATAAAAAATATTTTATACTACATATCTTCATTTTTTCACATAATGTTAATATATAATGTATACAGTCAGAAAACATTAACTCGCTAACATTTTCGTAAAATAAATTTGATCAAAAAAATGTTAATTCTGTTTTTATCGTGTCATTAATATTCATTTGAGATTTTATGTAATGGGACAATCGTTGACACATAATATGGTAAAAAGAGTATCGATGTTAACGACAGAAACTATATAATGCCACGAAATGTTTTTTTCTAAATTATGTTAAATTGATATTTTGCTTTCGCATGCCACGTTTAACGTTACATTCTATTTTGTTAATATAAGATAGAATTCTGTCGCAACTCATCGACGATCAGAATGGATAAATAAAGATAAAACAGATAGTTTTGGATGAAGAAAAAACAAGGAGATAACTCTCTGTGTCACTTGAGAACTCAGAGAAGATTTCGTAGGAAAATAATGGACTTCGTTACCATGTAAAGAAGGAAATACTTGACGAGGTACTCAAACTAGTCATCAAGTCAAATTAAGGAAAGTATCTGGGTGGGGTAAGATAAAACAAAAGCTCAAACAAAAAAACCGGGAAGAATGAACAAGAATCGAAGAAAGGAATATAATTGTGAGAGTTAATGTTACAGAGAAGAAGGAAGAAAATGTGAGAAATGGAAGTAGTAAAGAAATAGAAGAAAGAGAAAATAAAGAGAGAGAGAGAGAGAGAGAGAGAGAGAGAGAGAGAGAGAGAGAGAGAGAGAATGCATTACCGCAATGCTAGCCCGAGATTGTGCGGCCTTAATGTGGGCTTGAAGGTGCAGAGGGGGGTGGAAATAGCGGCAGGGGTCCCGATTGCATCGGCCCTTGACAGCGTCCATGCAGACCGTCACAGAGCCGTCCTCGTTCGCCTGCACCGTCTCGAGGGGGTGCGCAAACCGGCACTCCGTCTCGCCGCGTTTGCACGCCCCGCGTTGAAACTCGCGACATACCTACAGCAAGAGCGAACACGCATGGCATGGCACTCTATCTATGTGGGGGTCTTAAGAGGGGGGGGGGCTAGAGGCTAAAGGGGGTTGGCTGGCTTGCTGGCTTGGCAGGGCCGGGGGCGCAAAAGTCAGAGAGGGAAGGTCGATCGGAGGTCATCAGGGGTGACAGCTCAGGGATAATGGGTGAGGCGATTGTTCAAACGGTCGCTGGCTCTCCTTCGATTACGATCGCACATCTACATTGCTCGATGTTGCGATGTTAAAGATGGGTAAAACAGATGGAGATATGTATATATACAGAGGAAGAAAAAAAGGATGAGTGATTGGGGATCGTCCCTTAGTAATGAAAAAAAAAAAAAAAAAAAATAGTGACATTTTGACATCCTAATGCAAATCTAACATTGATTTGCATTAAACCCTGTCGGATTATGTTAGATTAAATTTTTCGAATGATAATGCTGGAAAAAAGTTTACATCTTAAATGTTTCTAGAATAATAATTTTAATTTTTTTTTTATGTCGCAGGATGAATGAAAAGATAAGCTTTTATTCAGATGGTTTCTCAAATGTGAATAAATACGCAGGAAAAGTTTGTATTAAAATATTATTTTGTTTTGTAAAATTACATTCGTGAAGTGATGCATGCTGCTATTATTTAAATTAGAATAATGCGAAAGTGACAAAACAGAAAAAATAAAATTGCTGTCAGTGTTATAAGATTAACGTAAGTTTTTGTTATAAATTATTTCCTTATAATACGTACGATGTAATTGAGAGAAAAACGTCGCGAGGTGAATCGAATGAAAAGAATTCCGGATTGACTTGAATAGGATAGATGGTAGATTAACTGACGTTAAAGGGGAAGTAGAGATTTTTGTACAGCAGATACATCGAGGAAATTGGTGCGTTACGGAGTAGGATCTTTCTACTTTGGCATGGACGAGCATTGGCCCTGAATACACGTTGCAAAACATGTAAATACGCGAGAAGTCAATTAATGGAACCGGCTAGTAAAGCAAACAGCTTCAAAGCCAGCGCCAATGCACCGTAATTTTACGGCGCCTTTAAAAGCTGCGGTTATACCATAAAAAAAAAAGATGTCTTTTTCTCGTCGCAAATTTTTAACTCTACGATGTCGCATGTCGCTTTAATTTATTAAATAAGATCATCTCTATATCATCATTATATATGTATATATGCATGATATAATTTAACTTAATAATTTACTTCAAGAGCAGCCTAAATAAATCAAATTTTTTGCTGAGAGATAGATAAATTATATATATTTTACTCGTAAATATATGTTTCTACTTAAAAAAACCAAATATTTAAATCGAATAAGAATCATAGATTACAAAAATTGATTTCTTTACAGCTTACGAATTTATATAAAGTGAACAAGAAATTGATCGATATGTAAGATAAAAATATTACAAAATTTTAATAACGTGTATTCACGGTTTGACACCTGGCCGCATATAGACTACTATAGGCTAGGCTTTTAGTGTATTTGGCAGCCACAGAGCTCGTGCCGAACCTGGCAAAATGTACAGGCGGGACTTTTTTTTACACAAGACGGATGTATACAGAGAGGCAAAAAGAAAAACGCGCGAGGGAGGAAAATTGAATAAAAGATAGGGCGGATGAAGAATGAAACGTAAAAAGGGAAGAAAGAAAGAGAGAGAGAAAGAGAGAGAGCGAGAAGAGAGAAAGAGTATAGAGAGAAATGAGAGTGAGAATATAGAATAACGTACAGAGCTAGAGCAATTGGACCGAGTGATGCGAAAGAGCGTTCCGTTTGTGGACTTCGGGTCTGTTTCGGGGGAGGCGTTAAAAAGAGCCAACTTGATACACATTCCTTTTTCTTTATCGGAATAGTTTTTTTCTTTTTTTTTTCTGGCCGTTGGTACGCTAGTTCCAACTCTAATCTATCAGTTCTTCATCGCGTCTCTATCGATTTTTCCGTGCGCTCTTTTCTGTTCTAATGAAAAGAGTAGTCTCTAACGAAAGCTTGATTGATGCTTATATAGGAAAGAGAGTGATATAAAATAATCTACTTACCGATCAATACATCACACATACATACACACATCGGAATGCGTATCTGTAGCGCTCGTAAGCGATTATCTTATATTACTACGAGAGTACTTTTCCCCGGGAATGGACGTGAGAGGTTGGTCGACTCGTGTTACCGGACTAATTTTAGCATCAGCGGGAGAGAGACCGGTGCTTACCAACGCCCAGAAAAGGGAGAAATTAGATCGCTCATCTACTCTACTCTAATGGAGCTGAAATACCGTGTTCAAATCTGTCAAAGAGAGGCGTAGCACGCGCCGTTACTCGGTGCACCCTCGCCCCGCCCAATAAGGTCGAAGGACACACTGGGTATGGATGGCGATCGGGGAGGATAATACAGAGTAATACGATAAAAATGCCTCCACGAGCATCCTTCGGTGTATTATCAATCGGGTTAATATGCGTACGTGTTAAAGGAAAACTCTGCATCATGCATCACTTACTACATTCCCTGTGTACCAGCGTCTCGAGAAAAGCAAGATATCGGTATAAGACACCTCGAACTTGCCGATAATTGTCTTGGCATAATTATGAAAACACTATTGGAAAACATTTTTGCTACATATGTTACATCGTGAGATTTCGTACCGAAGATTGACGAAAAAAAATTTCAGGTAAAATTGTATAATGTTGAAATAGAAAGTTTCTACTTTTCTCAAGATACGAGATTAAGAGAAAATTCTAGATAATATCATGCATATTGTATGTATATAGTTTTGAGTTTCTACGCGCTGAAGCATTATTCATCTCGTCTAGCACTAGCGCTTTTTCATTTTCTTTTGTTTTGACTCGATTGAATAACTTTTCGTTTCATCGGAGATAAAAATCTACATAGACATCGCGCGGAGTGTCTGCGTTCTAATGCAACAGGATAATAAGGGTAACAGCGCATTACGCGCGAGCGTCATTTCCGCGCGCGCGAAGTGACGCTTGCTCGTGTTTGCTTCACTTCTCCGCGCACCTTGTTCAAGTGTGTTAATTCGAGTGCACGCACTCGGTCGCTCGAGTGTGAACCGCGAGTTAAAGTGGGCGCTTTCGGCAAGCTGGAAAGCTCGTTAGGAAATGCACACGTATACAGACACATTAAACGGTTAACGAGAGAGAAAGAGAGAGACACGCACTCGCGCACACGCACATATATATATATATATATATATATATATACACACACATACACACGCAATCATTCTGCATACGTATTTGCAGATGGCACACAGCTGCGTGCAAAGACAAAAGACACAATAGCGTATATGTATGTAGACAGCTATTATACAGAGAAAGAGAGAATATGCTTGTACGTGCGTGTATGTATATGTGTTTCATGTGTGTATGTCATCGCGCGAATTGTTGCGAGATAGATAGCGTGGTACAGTTGATACCGCGGCTAAAAGAGTGAGAAACAGGTGCGACGAATGGTCCTTTTGAGTTCCTAATTAACGACGGACGGTCGGCAAGCGGCGCGCGCTGTGAGAGTCAATTTTAAGTAACGCTCGTATAAATTTTCACCCGAGGAAAATTATATAATCGGGGAAAATTTCGACATTCTCTGTAAGAATCCGGCACAACGAGGAAACGAGAACGAGACGTTTAAAATAAATGAAATTTTGGATTTGCACCTCTGCGCGAAGGATCCGGAGATAATTTTTGTTTAATTTACACTTTGGCATAGGAGAAGATTTACAGGTCAGCGCCTCCTTTACATTATATGTGTAGGAAGACATTTTCCGGGATTTCATTAATTATTTCGATGTATGCAAAAGTAGTCAACGAATTTCATTTTCCACATTGCTGAAAATCTCCATCGCTACCTTGGCTCTCTCTCTGTATAAATTAAACCATTCTAAAACCAATTTTAAACTTGCTGCAGTATTATACTCTTCCTGACTGTAAAATTATGTAACCAATTTTCGATAGTGACATAAAATATCTTTCAAACGAACCATCGCGCACAAATTAGTGGAAATTAATTACTTATAAAAATCATGTTTTCTTCGTATGTACATACACGTATGCGATAAGCACATGTATAATAATAATCGACAGTAAGTAGTGCATATATCCGAGTGCATGTAGTGCGCGAATTAGTCTTTGATTTTTTCTTTACAATTCTCGCGCGTCATAGATTTCACTTTTATGCGTAAATCCGATATATTTCACACACAGTGGAGATTTTCTATTATTAAAAATTGTTTAAAACGCGTGAGAGAAGTAACGCATAGCAAGCAGCGTTGAAACGAGCAACGATGTCAGCGATTCGTCGCGTGCACCGTTCCTCGCGAGAAATTCGATATAAAGTACCGCATTGTTAGCAAGCATAAAAGATGTGAAATGAAGTCTATTATACCTATCGCAGAAGCGCATACACAAAAAAACGCTACACAGCAGCTGCAGAAAAAAAAATCACGAAAAAAATTAATTAAAATCATGGAGAACTTTGTGTCTCGTAAATGTATGTGTATGCTTGTTTGACATGTATGTAGATATTTATGTGTGTGTGTGTGTGTGTGTGTGTGTATACGTACACAAAGTGTCTATTGTGTATATATGTATATATATATGTAAGGAAATATATATATATATATGTTGATAAATGTGCCAATAAATATCAAAATTCGCATGCGATCATACTGCATAAAGCACCTCCTCCTAGCTGTAAAAGTAAACACATAAGTCGCCGCTGAATGTATACAACAATTAATAGAATTAGTAAATAAGTAACGTGTTTGCGATTGCGAACAAAAATCATAACTCTGGCGCTGAAAAATCAGATACACATGTACAAATATATAATATGTAGGTATATAAAATACTTGTAGATCAAATATATATATATATTATACATGTAATATATATATAAATATTTAAAAGGAGAAATATGTATATATATATAGTCGCAAAAAAATGATATATTTTGCCGAGATAAGACAA